ATTCATTTGTATTACCCCTCTCTTATTTTATCTTATTTTTGTTACTATTCATTTATTTATTTTACATTATTTATGTTTATTTTTATTTATTGAATTTATAATGATTTATTTATATGAAAACAAAATAATTGATTAATGTATTAATTTATCTATTGTTCATATTCAGTTAATTATTTTAAAAGAAACAAAGTGATTAAATTATATTAATATTAGTGTTGGTCATATTTCTATTACAATTATTTGATATCATTTAACATTATATCATTTTCTCTTTTTATTTTAAATCAAATGAAATAAATGAAAAATACATTATTTCATTTTTTGATATTTCCATTTTAATTTCATTATATTTTATCTTCTTTTTATTTGTATTGTTTATGGTGTGTGTGAATGATTATAAATTATGTAATTATTTATTCTTTAACTAACTATTCATTCTTATTGTTATTCTATGGCATTTCTCTATTATCTCATTCTTATTTCTACTTTCTCTTTTATATTTTATCAAATGATAAATTAGAAATATTTATAAAATAAAATTACATATTTATATTTACCCCCTTTTTATTTGTTTGTTGTTATTGTTAAAATTGTATGAAATGTTTTATAATTAAATATTCATTTTTTAATTTAAATTCAATTTTCTCTATATCAAATTTAAGTATATTAATTAATTATTTCTTTATTTGTATTTAATAAATTGAATGATAATAATTTCTTGAAATAATTAATTTCAATATATTGATATGTTGTTTTATCATTGTTATTTATTTATATTTATTTAATTATTTTTTATTTATGATTATTATGTTATTTATTTGATTATTTATTATTCATTTTATCATTTATTTGTTATTAATGAATGAATAAAACATTATGAATAAATTAATAAAATAAATATTATTAATTCATTATGAAATGATAGTTAAATATTATATTATGAAATTAAATAAATTAAAATAACATAGAATTCAATAATATTATGTTGTATTATATTATATAATTCAATTTTAAATTATAATATCATAATTTAATTAATTAAATTCATTTATTAACAATTATATTATCATTTATTTTATGTTTGAATTTTGATTATCATTTAATTTATTAGTATTTTATTATTAAAATTACATATTAAACATTCTTTATCATTTATATATTTATATTTATTTATTATTTATTTCATATTTTATCATTTATTTTAATTATATTATAAATATATATAAAATGATTGTTATTTTACTTTTAGAATTAAATAAAATAAATATAAATCAAATTAATTTATGATAATCATATTTTATATAAAATATAGAATATTTAATCATTATATAAAATATAATGAAAATAAAAATTAATTTAAAATAAGAAATAACATTATATAATGGTTATAAATGTTATTAAATTAATATTTATTCTATTTGAAATAATTTAATGTTTATTATCAATAATATATCATTGATAATTATAAAATTATTGAAAATTAATCATTTCATTCTTATAAAATGAAAATATAATATTCATCTAATTAATTTATTCATTTTTTATCTTTTTCTTATTTGAATTAATTCAATAATTATTTATTTATTCTTTATTTTATATTATTCATTCATTGTTATATTTTCATTATCTAATTATATTATTTCTGTTCTTATCTTGTTATGTTATTCATAAAAATTACTTTCATTTTATTCTTTCATTTCATCATTTATTATTTTCTTTGTTAAAACTTTAAATTTATTAAAAAGTCATTTCACTTAGACAACAACACACCCGTCATCATCATAATCACTTTCTTCACCTTTTTGGATGTAGATTTTTCTTATTCTCTTATCCTTCTTTAGTTCTTCTTCACATTTACATCCTCTAAAACATTCATCTCCTATATATTCAACTGATGATGGTATATTAATTGATACCAATGACTCACATCCATAAAAACAATAATCTCCTAATTTACTAACAGATGATGGTATATTAATTGTTGTTAATGATGAACATCCCCAAAAACATTTATCTCCTATTTCTTTAACAGATGTTGGTATATCAATTGATTTTAGTGATGAACAATATCTAAAACATTTTTTCCCTATTTCACTAACAGATGTTGGTATGTTAATTGATTTTAATGATTTACATTCATAAAAACATCTATCTTCTAATACATTAACTGAAGTTGGTATATTAACAGATGTTAATGATGTACATTCATTAAAACAGTACTTTCCTATTTTAGAAATTAGTGGTGGTATATCAACTGATGTTAATGATGAACATCTACAAAAACATTCTTCTCCTAATTCTTTCAAAACATGTTTGATACACCGAACACTACAAAGCGAGCTAACTCTTGTTAGTGTATCAAATGATCGTAATGATTCACACTCATAAAAACATTTATTTCCTATTTTACTAACAGATGTTGGTATATTAATTGATGTTAATGATGAACAATATTCAAAACAATAATCTCCTAATTCACTAATTGATGATGGTATATTAATTGATTTTAATGATGAACAATATCTAAAACATTCACTTCCTATTTTACTAACAAATGTTGGTATATTAATTGATGTTAATGATGGACATCCAGAAAAACATCCATCTCCTATTTTTCTAATTGATGTAGGAATAATAAATTCGTTAATATCTCTTTCTCTTATCTCTTTTCCATTTATTCTTTTTAAGTTATTAATAGGAATTGATGCTAGTTTTTCTTCTCCTACAAACATTCTATCCTGACTAATAAATTGAATATTTCCAATATTAATTGATGTTAATGATGAACATCCAGAAAAACAATAATCTCCTATTTCATTAACTGATGTTGGTATATTAATTGATGTTAATGATGAACAATATTCAAAACAATAATCTCCTAATTCACTAATTGATGATGGTATATTAATTGATTTTAATGATGAACAATATCTAAAACATTCACTTCCTATTTTACTAACAAATGTTGGTATATCAATTGATGTTAATGACGAACATTCTTTAAAACATCCATCTCCTATTTTTCTAATTGATGTAGGAATAACAAATTCATTAATGTCTCTTTCGCTTATTTCTTTTCCATTTATTCTTTTCAAATTACCAAGTTCAATACAAACGAGTTTTTCTTCCCCTACAAACATTCTTTCCTCACTAATAAATTGAATATTTCCAATATCAATTGATGTTAATGATTCACAATAACAAAAACAATTTCTTCCTAATTCGCTAACTGAATATGGAATATCAATTGACATTAATTCATCACAAAAATTAAAACATTCATTTCCTATTTTACGAACTGAGTATGGTATTTCAATTGATGTCAATGAATTACATCCTTTAAAACATCTATTTCCTATTTTAATAACAGAAGTTGGTATAGTAATAGATTTTAATGATGAACAAACTTCAAAACATCTATTTCCTATTTTAATAACAGAAGTTGGTATAGTAATAGACGTTAACATCCAACATAATGCAAAACATTTATTTCCTAATGATGTAATATTTGTAGGGATTTTAATTGATTTCAACATACATCCTTCAAAACATTCATCACCAATTCCATTAAATCCTTTTGGTATTTTCAATCCATATCGTTCTCTATCTTCTCTTGTATACACTTTTGTCATCATTATTATATAGTTATTATCATTTCATTAAATAATAATGGATGACGAATTATTATATTTTCTTTATTCTTCTAATGATGTTTATTTATTTATTTCTTTTACATTTTTTTTATAATCATTACATAAAATTATTAATATTATTGTTAATGTAATGTTATTTGTATTTATTTTTATTTTATATTCATATTTTTATCGTTTTTATGAAAATTTGTTCTTTTATTTCGTATTTATATTTTTGTTCATTTCTGTATTATTTATCATTGTTATTAATGTAACTATTCTTTTTCTTTATATAATTTCTTATTATAATTTATTTTGTTTGTTATTTTTTATTCAATTCAATTATATTTTCTCATTTATTCTTATTTTATTACCCCCTTTTTTTCTTGAAAACTAACATAATACAATTATTTTATTTTTCTATTTATTTTATTTGAAATTATTTAATTTTATGATTAAACATTATTTATAAAAATAAATTCAATTTTACCCCCTTTTTATTTTCTCTTTATTTATATTTCTTTCTTTTATATTCTTATTATTAGATTTACATATCCTTTTCCTATCAAATTTATATATTATGTTAATGAAACAATTCTAAATTAAATTAATTATGATATTTTCTATTTTTGATAATACACTCATCATATTTATTATTTATTCATTTATTTTATTCTCTCTATTATTTATTTTCTATTCATTTCTTTAATATAATATATAATATGTTTATTTATGAATTATAATCTTTAATTTTATATCTTATTATAATTTATTATCTGATTCATTATTTAATTTATTCTTATTTATTATATTCTTATCATTATTTTATTTATTTTCATTCTTTATTTTCTTCTTATTTATTGTATTATTCTTATTTATATTTAATATTGATTATTATTATGTTATAATTTTATTATTTTATCTTTTATTTCTATTCTTTTATTTTATTTGATATAAATCTGTTTATTATTTATTTTATTAAATTAAACATTAAATATTAATTTATTCTTTCTTCAATTAAAGAATTATCATCATTAATCCAATAATAATCATAACAAGATTTATTTTCATTATTCTATTTCAACTACTTGGATATGCACAAATTCATTTATCAGATTTATTTTTATTATATTCAAATTTATATCATGATTCAAAATATGATAGTACATATTTTGTACTCAATTCTCATTTATCTCCATATTCATATCATCAATGTCCATGTTTTATATTAATTTCTTTATCACATTTTTTATCTATTTTAACTATTCTTTTATTATTTTGATTCCATTTTATTTGTTATTTCTTTATTATCTTTTTTGTTTCTTCTTCTTTTTCTTCTATTATTTCATCTCTTATAACATATTGATATATATTCACTCTTTCATCTATTACATCTTTTATAAATTCTCTATGTTTATTTTCATTATATTTATAATTATATTTAAATGTTTCTAAAATATTATAAATAAGTGAAAATTCTAATAGTTTGTAATCATATTGTTTTTCTGTAATTATACTTATCATTCTATTTGATGGTGATTGTCCTACTTCAATTTCTTCATCTTTACCATATGGATCACCATCATATCATACAATAATACCACTTCTCCATTCTTTTATTCATTTTGTTATAAATGAACAAGTAGAATAACAAAATGAATATGTATAAATTATTATTTCTGTTGATTTTCTTTGATGTTTTAATGGTTGAATTTGTGGTTATGAAACATATTCTGATATTTGTGTAATTTTATGTTTAATATCACCATATTTAATAATATTTGTTTTGTATACAATCTTCTCTGTCTTCTACTACAATACCTATATAATACCCATGTATTATCATCTTCAGTGATTCTACAAATACATTCTTCTATTTATATTATTTCATCAACATAATTTCATCTTTTCTCACATGTTTTTAGATCAACAAAATATTCCATATATCATTTTTTAATATTGAAAATGTATTATCAGATTTGTTGATGAAATTAAATTTTCATCATAGTTTGGTGTTAATAATGAATCCATATTCATAGTTCTTCACTTCCATCTTTATTTTCTGGAAGAATAACTTGAATTTGATATTCATTTGAATCAAATAATTCTATACAATTTTGAAGTAAGTATAATTCATTATTAATATCATATCATTTAATAACAAGAGTATTAATATTATTATTAGATATTTTACATTAAATATTATCATATTTATCACCATATTCATTTCTCTTATTATTTATATTTGTATAATTTTCATTTGATGATAGAATGATTTTATCTTCTTGATTTATACATTGATAATTTGATAATTTTAATAAATTATAATGAACATCAACACTTTCATCATTTTCTAATATAATTGTTAAAAGTGTATTTAAATAATGATTTGATAAAAGTAATAAAAGTAAATTTCCTTGAGTAAATGAATTAACAAGAATAGAAGAATTAGAAAATGGAAATTGAACATGAAGAGATTTAAATGAACTATATTTGTTTCCAAATTCTCTAATAATTTCAAATTGATCATTTCCATTTATTGATTTAACATAAATATCTTTATTATTTTCTATTTATGTTGGAATATCTTTACATTTTTATAATAATATTTAAGAATAAGATACATATGTTTTTATTTATCTAACATAATATTAAAACGAATGAAATAATAAAAATAAACAATATAATTTCTATATGAACCATGAATTTGTTTTATTGAAAGAGATAATAAAGGATATTTTTGTGAAATAAATAAATATTGAAATTGTGAATAAAATTCATATACACTTCCACTATCCATATTTATTTTATTTGTACTTTTTCATAATAATATGAACTAATTGGTGGATTCTTCAATATGTCTTTGTATACATATGATTCTAAATTCATTTTCAAATCATTAATCACTGATTTTTATTATCTTCTGAATTTATTAATTCATCATTTCAAATACATTATCAACACTATCTACAACTGAGATATATTCATTGTACTCATTACATTTCATTCCAAATGAAGTGTAATTAATAGAAATATTAAATTAATCATTTAATAAATTAATTATTTTAAAGTTCAATCTTAAATACTCATCAATAACATTCAACTTTTTACCCCTTATTTCTAATTAACAATAATTTTAATCATTATAAAATTAATAAAATAGAATTATTAATAAAATAATTATTTTACATTGTAATTATCCATTTTTATTGTATTTCTTAAAATATTAAACATCAATATTTATCGATATTTTAAATTAAATAATAAAAATAGAATAATTTAAATTATATTTATTGTTTTTATCATATTTTATTCTTTTTATCGAACAACTATAAAAATATTCCATTTCTCATTTTTTATTTTTCTTTTCATTAGAATTACAACAAAAATAAAATGATAAAATAAAAAGAATGAAATATTATCACGTACAAATTTAAATAAATAATGTGAAAATATTTAAAAAACAAAATGAATAATCATATTTAATCGTCATTTATTTCATTATGAATAAATTAAAGTAAATAAATTCAAATATTTTATGTTAAAATATATAAAAATATACAATATTTTTAATAAAATGGATTGATTTAATATTTAATGAATATAAGTTAAATTAAAAATAATAAATTAATTAAATACAAATAATAATTATGATAACAAATGAAAATAAATAATTTAATGATATGTTAATAAAATTACATTTATTTCAAAAAATAAAACAATAATATTCAAACATCAAATTGTTTGATATTCATCAATACTTTTATTTAAAACAACAATGAAATACAAATACTATTTATTATTATATTTTATAATTAAATTATAATATATTTAATAATTCAATTTCATTCTTTTCATCAAAATTTAATTTAAAAATGAAATACAAAATATATAATTAATTCAATTATATTAATTAATAAAGAAGATAATGTTCAACATAATAAATTAATCAAATTAAATCATTTTCATTTAAATAATTCATAATGAATAACTTCTCTTTCATTTATTTTTATTATTCTTTATTTATTTGTTTCATATTTTATATTCCATTTTATTTATCTTATATTTTATTTTATTCATATTTAATTTATATTTATTATTTTAATGTTTTCTTGTTCATTATTTAATTTTATTCATATTTAATATTTCTATTAATTATTCTATTTCATTTTATGATATTATATTATTATAATATTCATCTGATTATGAATATAAATAAATTGAATATTATTATTTTCATTTATTCTATTATTTATTAAATTTATTCATTTCTTCTTTATTTTCTATTTTATTCATTTTATTTTTTATTCATTTATAAACATATTTTATTTATTCTTTCATTTTAAATATTTTATTTTATAATTTATTATTTCTTTATTTATATTGAAAATGAAGTTGTTGTATTATTTAATACAATTACAATATATGTATTTCTTTTTATTCTTTTATTCATTAATTTGATTTATTTTCTTCTTATCATATTCTTATTCATTCAAAATAACAATTATCTACAATGTCTACATTATTTATATCATTTTCTATATAAAATAAAATATATCTTATTTGAATAAATTGAATTTATTAATTATTTCATTATTATTCATTTCAATATTATTCATTATACTTTTATAAATAATTTTATTGTTTTATTTCATGTGAAATCATTATAAATATATCAGATGATTTTAATTTCATTTAAATACATTATAAATATTATAAATAAATATGATAAAATAAATAGAAAATGAAATATAAATAATAAAAATACAATAATATCAATCTTATTAATCTAATTGAAATTATATTTTTTCAATCAATAAATAAAATTGTAAATTAATATTTTCTTTTTAATTTCATCAATCAATTTGAAATAAATTATAATATTAATACATATTTTATAATATTAAACATATATTTATCATCTAATTTATATAAAATATATTTCAAAACAATTTTAAATAATAATTTCATTTCATTATTCTTATCTTTTTTATTTCTTTTCTATTTTATTTAAATGAAAATAAAATATAAAAATAATAAATAAAAGAATAAAAATAATAATAAATAAAATGATATTAATAATTCAAATCAAAATAACGAATTGAATAAATTCAATATTTCTCATAAATATCAATAATAAATTAATATATTATTTTCATTATAATTA